TAAGCTGTCTGAGAGTCACTTTTCGCTAAAATTGATGGTTTTCCCTGCAAAGTGAAAAAACTGTTTTCCTCACTTATTTGTTTAAATAGAAAAGTTAGCTAATAAAAGTTTTTGACTCACGAGACGAGAGATGTCTTGTATCATGTTCCTTTAGACAATTTTACAATAATATAGCGGATAGGACTTTTTTCGAGTTTCTCTTTTATTTTCGCTAATTTTCCTGGTGTACGTCATGATTAGTGCAATAATTGCATTTAAAAAAATATTAGGATCGTGAGTCCCAAAATAAAAAAAATTTTGTGGGCGACACTTTATGTGACATATTTTTAATATTACACTATACACTGTTGAAAAGAAAATTTCTTAAAATAGCTCCATAAAAGCACAGTTTTGCTCGTAACAAAACAATTGACGATAAATATAATTAATACAATTTCTTTCCAAATGGAGAAGAAAAAACAAATTAAATAATTTATTAGAATATTTCCGCTTTGTTTTATGGTATAAGTATTTTTTATTTAGTAGTGCAAGGGATTTTAAGCTTTCACTGCCAAACATTATACAGGGTGTTAATGATATACTCTGACGAACTTTAATGTTGGATTCTACTTCACAAATCAATAAAAAGGTTCATAAAAATATGTGTCCAGAAATATTTATGTGAATAGGTACATAAAAATTAAGATGCTTGACGTAGATTGAAGTAACTTGAACTAATGACAACCAATTATGTTTAAAAAAACGTTGCTGCTATTGGCGGGAATACTGGGAGACACGTTCACTAGGAACATATTAGCATTTTGATTCCTCTGAATATTTTGGAATTTTTCTAACGAATGTTGAAAATGTTTTGGAAAAAAATATTTTTAATTTAAATAAACCTGCGATATTGTTGGATAAATCGATTAAGAAGAAGTACAATTTTATTAACAGGGCTGGAAAATCCATATGGTCCATCTGCCTTTACATAAGAGCGACAAAGTAAAGTAAAGAAATCCGTGAGANGGTGAGGTAGTAATGGGAAAAAATGTTAGGTACGACGCAAGTCTAAGGGGTGGCTTTTTCTACCCCTTACAACGGTAGGGGAAAATCTACAAATTGTTTACTCAGTGCCTTCTCGATAGAAAAAATGTCTACTTAATTTCATGTCTGTCACTTTTTTGGTATTTCAGAAAAAAAATAGAAACTACTTTTTTGGCACCCTCTTTGAGCGGTTGTATCTTTACAGGGGATGTTCAAATGAGAGATTTTTTTATATGAAAGACCCACCCTTTTTCACCCATGAATTTTTTCGCACCTATTTATTTACACCCTGTATAATTAGTAGGGGACTGAATTTTGTGAAACATTTAATTTCATTGATGTTTTAATTATATCATGCAAACTTTCTATTGATTGAATCTCAAAATAATCAGTACTAACATTTTGACAGAATAAATTTGCAGGTAATAGATTGGGGCACAGATCTTCTATTTTAAAAATTTATTTTTTCAAAACAGCGATACTTAATACCAAGTCTGCTATATATAACTAATATATGACATAAATTTTCAGACAAATGTCCTTTTGTACAGATTTCAGTCTCTTCCTTTTGTAATGAATAAAATCCCTTTCAATGTTTCACGATTGCAGACGTCACGTGGCATGCACGTGATATGTGCCCATAATGGATCTGCAACGTGCTGTGCGGGTCAATATTTCTGAGTTGTCCACACCACAAAATGACATGCATAGCTTTCAAGTAAACATGTCTGTAAACTGGTACTCCACGTCATTGGATTCATAGCTTAGAAAGGTATTTTGATGACACATAAAGGCGCCGTTCCATGACGCCAGGTTCGTACAGTGCTTCTTATAAGAAGTAATAAATACATTTTCCGGGTAGCTAGATGAGGCTTAGAGCTCGCGCTAGTTGTGGCTGACTTAAAACAAAACAATGACGACCTGCTGCATGAGTGAAATACTCAAGAAGCCTCACTGCGTAAAAGGTGCTTTAATGTGTACCAAATTTGAGCTTGTTTTGTGTAGGAAAAAGTTGGTAAAATCGTACCACTTTCTTTAATTCATTAATGATTTATGAAGGTAAAAAAATTATTCTTCATATTACACAGCCACACAAAAAAAGTTGTCTGTACTTTCATGCCACATATGTTATCCGTAGTATTTTAACCTCCTTGAGCTATCACATCACAGGAATATCCTAACCTCAAAAAAATAGGTCAAAAATAGCAAAAATTCGAGAAAAAGTGCTAGGAAAAATACAATTTTTTTTTTCTATATTCAAATGTTCATTTATACAGTTAAGACCCCGCCGAATATTAATCTGCGGTCAGAATTGATGGTTCTTTTTCTAACCTCAAAAGAACGGGTCAGATATCACTAATTTTCAAAAAATAACAGCACCGAATTTAGTATACGGAGATTTTCAGGGTCAATGATCACGGATCAGATTTACAAAATTCGTTTTTAAAAATTTAATCAATTACCTATGTACTTTATTACCTGAAATTAGGCGGAAAACCCGTTAATAGATCGTTTACAGAAAAAAGATCAAGATATAGCCGAAAAGAAGAAGGTAAACATAATTGAGTACTAAGTATATAAAGTAAACAAAAATATTACAAAATGAATTTCGAATTCGTGATCAGCGACCCCGAAAACCCCCGTATACCAAATTTGGCGCGAATCTGTTATTTTTTTAAAATTTGGTCGACCATCTTGGATCTGCCATCTTGAATTTTGCAAAATTGACCTCGGATTCTTGATCAGCGACCCCGAAAACCTGCGTTTACCAAATTTGGCGCGAATCTGTTATTTTACGAAAATTCGTGATATCTGATATTAATTGACCTGTTTTTTGAGGTTAGAAAAAGAACCATCAATTCTGACTACGGATTCACGTTCGGTGGGGTCTTAACCGTATAAATGAACATTTGAATATAGAAAAAACAATTTCGTATTTTTCCTATCAATTTTTACCTGAATTCTTGCCATATTTTGACCTATTTTTTTGAGGTAAATTCCTGTGATGTGATCAGGAGGCAAAAATGCTGCGGATAACATGTCGCATGAAAAGTACAGGCAACTTTTTTTTGTGTGGCTGTGTTATTTTTACCTTTATTTTTCTATTCTTCCGTTTTTAGAATACGTTTAGTAGTAATACTTATTTTATATCTAAAAAGTACAATCTAATCTTGAAAAAACAAAGGTAGGTCAGATATTCATGGCTTACTAGAGTAATCAAAAGTAAAATTTGCAAAATTAAAGGGGCTTTGCTAGAAAAGTGCCAATATTTCCGAAAATGGTGATTTTAGACATAGGGTATTATTTACAAAACTTGTAGGTAATTAACATATTAATCCAAAAATAAAATAATATACCAGGTGTTTGATTTAAAAAAAATCGAGAATTATCCTTCAAAATTCGCTAAACTGGGGTTTATGTGTAGAACACACTGTACAAAATTATAAAGATTTTACTATTTTGTTGTGTGTCCACATCTTTGCTCCGCATTCCTACAAAATATTTTTTCTTAATTACTGGTACTAATACCTGCATATTTACAGAATCCTATCCCAGCGAAAATTATCTTATTTTTTCAAATCACTTGGCATCGCCGTATCAAATACAAAAACAAAGACATCGCTGGAAAGAGAATTTTCTGTAGAATAAAAATTTGTAAAAATATACAGTGTTCCATTTAATAAAAACCACCTTAAAAATGCTCACTCTGTATAATTCAAAATATTTTTAAAATGTGAACTTTCTTAAATACATCGCTCCCATAAAATATTGCTCTTCAAATATTTATAATAAGGGAGATATTGAACTTTGCCACACTATTGGGCCACCTCATTTTTTACTTGAATCTTAGATAATTAATTACTATTTGTTTACGAGATATTTCTGGAGTAATTCAGTGCTGACTAGGACGTGATGCTTGTAGCATAGATAATACCTTGGGTTCTTATCTATAAATCTCTTTTGCAATTCTAGGTTTTTGGTATCAAAGTTTGGTTGACCTAATTTGAATTTAAATTTACGTGAATTGGCTAAATAACTAACAAAATAAAAGCTTGACTGTGTCAAATAAGAACAAGGTAGATACTGCTTAAGGGGGTCGTTTATATGCGCAATTTTTTTGTCTAGCACGTTAGAAAATCTAAGCGAGTTAGAAACAGTGTCTCTTCACTGGACCAATTATATAAGTTTTCTTTAGGGTATAAAACAACTGAAAAATGCTTTCAAAATAAGCAAAAAAGCATATTTTTACCTCGTATGTTTATCTTTCCTGAATTCACAACCAGCAGAATACTTTTAGGAACTATTAACACATGGATTATTCACAATTATTGAGTATCTTTACAAATTTGCTGGACAAAACAGGAAAGGTACATTTTCTAATGTTTACTTGTTCTTCATGATCTTTCAATACGAAAAATTAAAGGTTGCTTTAGTTTAGCGTTTACTCTTCGTCAGTTCCTGGATCGATCTACTTGTTCTATCATTGTCTTACTAAAAATGCGATTTGTCTATAAAATGCCAGCCTTACATTAAACTTTTAGAAAATTTGCCGTCCTGTAACCAAATATGATATCATTTCATGAGTGTGCAGTAACTATTATAAGAATTTCAGTTAATTAGTATGAACATTATACAAAATACCTCATAAAAGTAATGAGAACTCAAAAACAGGCTTTTTTAACTCTCCTTGTTGTTGTTGGTAGCGAAGTGTTGTTTTTCTGTATTTCCCCCTTTTTAATTCCATGGAGAAGCGGCGCTGTGTCTGAACAATTGTCTTTATCACCTGCAAAAAGCATTATAGATATCTACAAAATAGCCCACAATCGGCTTAACGAATGGGTTTTTTTTGTCATAAATGTAGCAGTGACAAGTCGTTCACGCGTTAACACGAAAACAAATAAACGAAAATGTTATTCCGCATGCCTTTTATTATAATGTGATGTTGCAATTGGATTCTAATGATGAACTGGTTACAGACAGCGGAAGACAGATCAACGGCGATACCAGAATCAAGAAACATTCCGTCACTGAATCTGTCCATTCTAAAACGAGAAGTCCGGACGAAGATGACAGGTTAGTTTTGTATAGTAGAATTCTTTAAGTTACTTCAAAGTGTTAAATAATAAGAATGAACAAATTCAGAAATAATAGTTGAAAAGGTACAAGTAAATCTACCTTGACATTATATATTTTATAAAAAGAAGTTATTATTCATTATCTACAGTGATTTTGTAATCAGTCAATTATTGTACAAGTTGCTAAATATTTTTAAAAACGTAGTACGATTTTGTTTTATTATTGTTGCGTTATTGTTTTGCAAAAGCTATTTTGTTTTTTTAAAATTGCCAATCTCTTCACAATTATTTCATTTACAACTAAATTGATCTATATATAATAACTGTTAACAATTTTATTTGAACAAAATTATAAAATATTTTATAGAATTTGTTTTTTGCTGCTTATACAGTAAATATGTACAGAGCATTCATAAATGTTTAGAAGCCACGTGACCCTTGAGTTTAGTCCACCCACAATACACGACTAGTCTACTGGTAACGAAAAGTCCCTAAATCTTGGCGTCAGCAATATTACTGATTTGTTTACAATGAATAGTAACAAACCGTTACACCTTCACTATGAGGTAATATAATAACAGATTGGTCCTGAAAAATTACACCAATAACAGCCGATAAAACAGAATGTTGTGTTTTAATGTCATCTTAATCTTATTATTTAATAATAATTTTAAATTTACCGAAATTGAATTGTCACCAGTAAGAAAATAAAACTACTGTCCCAAATAAAACAACTAGACACTGTGGCTTGTAATAATTTATGAAGGTTCTGACCCTCGTACTTATTTATCAGATTGTGAATATTTATAAAACTATTCTTTAAGCATTTAACTGAACATTAATGATTTTATTAGGATTTTGGAATTTGAAATATAAGTTAGGTATTGTAATATAACAAAGTATTTATTTATGTTAAAGTAAAAAAATAAATTCAAAATTTTTTCAAGAAAGTCTTGTCAAAAGAAGTCAACATATTCTTCGATGCCAAAAATCTAGATGAAATACTTATTATATACTTATAAAATTATTTAATAATTATCGCTTACTACTTTTTTTTAAGTAGTTGTAAACATTTAGAATATTGTTCTATAAAGCCCATCAGAATATTGTTTTATACAAAATACTTTGTAAATGTTCTTTCAGCTTATACAGGGTGATTCAAAACTTATTCAAAAAAAAATTTAGACTTATAAATGCAGTTTTGTAAAAAAAAAATCAAAGGGTAGATCGAAAATGATTTAAAAATACATTTTTGCATGGCTTTGGAAATTGGTCTACTGTAAAACCTGACCTTGCGCAAGACAAAGCATGTAGTCGGCAACCGGCACGGCAGCAAAGTGTAGGTAATAAAAAATTAACGGCTAAAAAATTTCTTTCCCAAGGCAAGAAATAGTTAAAATCTATTTTATATCAGCAAATTCAACTGCTTTTGCCGCTATAGTTATTATTAATTATTAAAATTAATTTGTAGTTTTAATTAATAAAATAATTTGACATACCTGATGTTACAACTGTTTAAAATTTTGTCCACCGTCTTTTAAACACATTCGGGACCGTCTTACCCAGTCTCCACGAACTAACACAAATGTTTTCTTGCTTCACCATAACGCAAATGTTTCACAATAACACAAATGTTATCTTGGTTCATAATAAATTCAATATCCATCAACTTTGAGTTGCTATACACGTAAGCCATTTTTGACACTTGAAAAACTAATGTAAACACTATCGTAAAATCGTTAATACTAGAATCGGATATCAGTATTCGAAATCGCCTGGGGCCACGTGGAGAGAGAGGGCATTGCGTGCAGAGCAGTTTGACGGCCAGCGATGTAAAGGTTGAAAGTACTACAAGTTCAATATTTTTTTTTCTGGGAAACTATAGGGATTTTACAAAAATTTTTTTAAATAAGTTTTGAATCACTTGTAGGTTGAAAGTACTACAACTTCAATAATTTTTTTCTCGGAAACTGTAAGGATTTTACAAAAATTTGTTTGAATAAGTTGTGAATCATTCTGTATAAATCAAAATGCTAGTTGAATGATTGACTTGCACTAATGAAAGTAATAATTTGTATTAGAATTCTAATTAGTAATACAGCAAGTTGTATTTTCTGACGTAAATTATACATTTACAGATCGGAGGAAGAAGTAGGTAATAGATGCCTGTAGGTAAATATATGTAACAAAAAAAAAAACACTATATCTAGTGCACATTTTCGGTAGTTCTTTTGCACAATAGGTTCATGGGAAAGGGAACCTTCAGCAATTTTGCACTGATTTGTCACTTAAACTTCGCTTAATTATAGATATGTACATATAGTATCAGTTAAAAAGTTTTCACTCCATCAAATATTTCCCATATTTTCCATTATTTTCGGTTACAATTCCTGGACAGGTAAACTGTTTTTGAAAACAACTATCAAAAAAATATTTCTGTATAGTGCAGACTTTTTATTGAAACTGTATAAAAATATTTCAAATAGAATTTATTTTGCAAAAAAACTTTTATGCTAAATAATTTGAATTAGAGAAATTGAAATTTTTCTTACTAGCATTTCTCATTTTTTCAGTAATGCTTTTGATAATTTATGATATTGATAGACTACACCGAATGTTTTAACATTAATTAAAAAACAAAAGCACATAATTAAAAAAATTTAAGAGAAAAGCAAAATGAAGAACAAATATTCGAATAAAATTAATTCTAAAATATTTGGGGAGTTATTTTAAATTATTATTTTTTCGACAGTAAGTAGGTACTGTAATATTTACACAGGGAAAAATATTCTTGACTCATTTAAATACAATAATTGTAAATGTAAAAGGATTATGAAAAATAATATTCAATAATATAAATTTATCAAAATTGAAATACTAGCATAAATTGCTCCTTCGCAGTAAAAATTTTTATTAATATTTTATTGCCATTGACATACTTCTCTTGTGCCTATGCCAATTATTACGTGACAGTGTTAGTAATTGATACATTTTTTGTCATATTCAAGCAATTCAAATGCTTCCAAATTGTTTAATCTGGAACAGAATTTTAATAAATTGAAAACTTTAAACTTTCATAAAATAATTCTACATTTTAAATTAAAGAAAGTAAACGCTTACAGAAATTGCCCATGATTTATCAACTGGGTCGTTAGACCAAGCAAATTAAATTTTTACTCGAAAAAAGTCCTATCCGCTAGATTATTGTAAAATTGTCTAAAGGAACATAATACAAGACATCTCTCGTCTCGTGAGTCAAAAACTTTTATTAGCTAACTTTTCTATTTAAACAAATAAGTGAGGAAAACAGTTTTTTCACTTTGCAGGGAAAACCATCAATTTTAGCGAAAAGCTTTTCTTTAAA